GAATAAAAGATAAGAGGGCCTTGCTTCCAAACAGATGGTGATGATGCAGGCACCACCAAAAAGTGGTAACTTTAATTACATGCCTACTGTACACCAAGCACCATAATGAGTACACACATAGGATTTCTCTCATAATATTAGTGGCAATCTTATTTAATAGATGTTATCATCTTTATCTGCTTCATAGACAGGAAAATTGAAATTCAGGGTTAGATAACTTTCCAACTATTAAATGGCAGAGCCCAGTCTTGACCCCATTTTCCCCAGTCTCTGAGATTCTGCCTTGCCTCGTCACGTAACACCATCACCAAAGCAGACAATTCCGTGATGTTCTATTATGCTACAATAAAGAAAGAGCTCTGGCAGGGCTCCAGGGCTCACTAAGGCAGAGCATCACAGTGCAATGGATTAAGGCACATAAGTTATGGGTGCGTCTCAAGCAACGCCCCTAGCTTCTGAATCTCCTGGTGGGCTTTGCTGAAGAGCCCATTTTAGAGTACTCCAGTCTGTTTTAGAGCAGGAAAAAAAATCATCCAGATTTCTCTTCTAGAGATCCTTGTGGTTAACAACTTTCACGTCTATTTACAAGCATGACCTTCACCGTAAGAGCTGTCCCACTACCTTTTTTAATTTGCAGCTGATACTGCTCCCTGTCCTTTGGCGCTGTAGGACCCTGCCATCCCTTTTCTTTTGTTTGTTTGTCCCTTTGTTGTTGTTATGTGGGGGATTGAACTCAGGGCCTTGATGGACCAGGCAACTGTTCTACTATGGAGCTACATTCCCAGTCCCCTCTTTTTTTCTGTCTTTACACAACTGTTTTCTCCATTCAGAATACATACTTTGTAAAGTGTGTGTCTGTACTTATATTGCTTTTCTTTATTGTTACTTAAATTCTCCCTTTAGAATGTAAAATCAATGAGAGGAAGAATTTCCCAAAATTTCAAGAAGAATGCCTATTATACAACAGATGCTCGGTCAATATTTGTGGAATGAATGCACCTTGAAAAACCAACCATGGGTGAAAGATTGGACTGAGTGATTTTGGTGACCCATCCTGGTCTTACTATTCTGGTTCCAATGACCAAGAAAAGATGCTTCTGCTTAGGACGTAAGGGTGTTAGAAAGCAAGCAAGCTCCCACCCGCCTGCACACCTGAGTGGAGTCACCCTGGAATTATGCATTTGAACGTGGATTAAGCATTGATGTTCAATAACCTTTCATCTTCAGTCTACTGTGCTAATCTTCATTCTAGTCCTCTGGTCTCCTGACATGGGCAGTTAAAGAAGAGAATTTAGTGCATGCAGCAAATATTCCCTACATCTCAGTGGCAGCCAGCGTAAAGTCTGTGCTCTGAGCTGGAAATATTTTTTAAAAAATTCATGGGAGTGTCTTTGAGTTTGAATTAACATAATTATAAAATTTACAGGCAACGAGTGTGCTTTTTATAAGGCTTCTATACCAGATGTGTCAAATGTCTAGTTTTGAAAGGACTTCATAATTCAGTTACAATTTCCTCTGGGTTAAATATTAGAGTCTGAGAGTTGGGGGGAGCAAGAACAACACATTTCTTGACGTGCCTTCTGAATACAAGATGAACGCCATCTGTAATGCAGGCTTTCTGTTTTTCTTTTTCTCATTATGCCCTCCTTTAAAGGTTGAAACTGATTTTCACATTCTTTCAACAGTTAGGTTGCCATCAGGCTAAGTTTTCATTTGCACTCAAGATATAGAAGGATGAGAATATCAACATTTATGCCTGTGTAACCAATAGCGATTATATCTGGAACTCTGATCTGACAATTGATGTCAATGAGCAAGTTTAGTGTCATTTGTTTGCATTCTTTTTGTTTGTTTGTTTGTTTTTGTCTCTTTGAGACAGGGTCTTTCTATGCAGTTGAGGCTGGCCTTGAGCTCACTTTGTAGCCCAGGCTGGTCTCAAACTCTCAACGATCCTCCTGCCTCAGCCTCCTGAGTACTGGGATTACAGGTGTGCACCACCACGCCTGGCTCACTCCTTTTTTAAAAAAATATACATATCCACCCAAGCAGAAAATTCAGAGATCATTCTTGATTTTTCCTTTATCCTTATCCTGGCTATCATGTAGTCACTAAGATCTATTAATTTACTACTAAATATTTCCTTTTCAACCTTATTTTTCCCATTTGCTTCCCCCTTTTTATTAGTACATGTTTGTGATACATAAAGAATACATTCATCACAGGGAATCGGTTACATATGCACATTGAACCTTGATGCTTTTTACTTCTCCCTTTCCTCTTCTCCTTCCCATCTTCCCTGATCCCCAGACCCCCTGTCTATCTTCAGTCATGTTTTTCCTCCATCCTCATCCTGGTCCTCTATATGGTGCCGTATTGTTCTGAATAAGGTCTCCAACGGGATAGGTCATTGATCCAGATTTACCAAGGAGTGTTCCAATTTTAAAAGTGTAAGTCTCCCATCCCAGGACCCACTCCCTCTCTGTTCAGGTCAGGGCTGTGGGTCCCACAATGTGTGAACATTACAAGTCTGGTTTGTTCCAGCCCTGCTAACTTATCAGTCACCGGAACTTGACTGTCTTCTGCCTCAAGATCTTCAACACAGGCTGGGCTTCTACCCAGATTGCTTTTCCAAGTACCCTTTGCCTGGCGAATTCCTCTCCAAAGTTGGTTTAAGTGTTACATTTTCAAAAACGCCTCTCATAATTCAGCATCCAACCCCAAATAATTTGTTGACTTTTGGCCTCTCGCTTTGTCTTTATACCAGTCTCAATTTGTAGTTTTATTTTATTCATGTAGTTACATATTTACAGTAGGACTTCCTCATTAGGATTGCAGCTTCTTGAAGGCAGAGGCTGTATCTTTTGGGCAGCTATTTATCCCCAATATCTGTCTCAGGTCTAGCAAGTACGAAGCACTTTGCAAATATATCTCAAATAAATTTACTTTCTATATATTTCAACTTTGCCTTGAAGTTTGCAAGATCTTTGTCTGTCTTCCCTCCCTCCCTCCCTTCCTCCTTGCTACCTTCCTCTTTCTTTCCCTCGTCCTTTGTTCTTTCCCTGTTAGGAAGAAACAACCCCTGGAATTACCATCCAGTTCTATATACTTTTTATTATTTATAGACCAGTAATTTCTGCTTTTATTGATATCTCTTTCATCACATTTCCCTCAGATATATTATTTATTTTTGTTTTTGAGCTTCAGGCTCACTTGGTACCACTTTCTCCATCCTACCTGATTTAGCTGCGTGCAGCATGTACTTTTCCTGAAGCGACTGAGCTGTTTTAACTTTGAGGCTCTTTCTGAACATGGTATTTTCTCTGTGTGATATATCCTTCCTTCACTAATTTAACAAATATTTAATGAATACCTTGCCATCTTTGTCAACTGAACTATAAATTCTTTAACACCTGGCTCAGCTATACCTGAGCTGCAAGACTTTCCTTCCTCTACCCCCTGTGAGGTAATCCATTTCTCAGTCCCAGAATGTATGTTGAATAAACCTAAATTACAGCACTTACACGCCCCTCTCCCTACCGAACTCCTCAGCTCGCACACCAGTGTCTGACCCCGTGTCTATTTGCCAGCAGGTTTTTATCCTGGAGAAAAGGGGCATTGACAAGTAGCATGGCTGTCTTTTAAGTTCTCATCCTCCTGACAAATAAAGAAATCATCTAAAAAATATAGGCAGACTCAGTCAGTAAGAGAAATGGAGAAGAAGGTGAATAGGCAGAAAAAACTTGTAGATCACGTACAGTGTATATTTCCAACTGCATTAGATAATGACAACGGAAATTTCATTTCTCAAGACACCATAAGAAAAAAGGAGATGTAAATATAAATATACACTTGATGTAGGTAAGAGGGTTTGAGAAAACCCACACTGGATGGACTTGGTCCTGCAAAATATGATTCTGAAGGGTGCTATGGTTCTGGAAGTGTGCTCCTTCTAACGCTTGTGTTGCAACTTAATCTCTGCATTAGTCTGTGTCTCATCACTGAGCTGCTTACAATACCCACAGCACCACAGCACAACTCGCAGGAGGGGAGGTTTCATTTGCCAATAGTTTCAGTCCATGATTCACTGCTTTAAGGCAGAAACATGGGGGAAGGTCATGGTGAGGCAAAGCTGCTCCACTCCTGGCAGCCAGGAGTCCCCGCAGGGGAACAGTGCCAGACAGAAACAAGTTAGGGGCCCAGACACAGCACACAAGACCACGTCTCCATGACCCACTCAGACACACCCAGGAGCATGCTCTACTTACGAAGAAAAACCCTCACAATCCAAAGTCTTACGTTAATGATACATAGAGGTGGAGACTTTGGGAAATAATTAGGATTAGATGACATCAGGGGGTTGAACCTCTTATAGTTCCATTAGTTACTTTAAAAGATGACATGTTCAAGTTAGGAAGCTTGTTCTGTTTTGCTGCATGATATTCTGCAGCAACAGAAAGGCTTACCAGTTGCTGAGCAGAAGCCAGAACTGTACTTTTAGACTTTCAACCAGGGGAGGATCAAGGACATTGGAGGAATCAAAGGCCCCAGTAAATGAAGAGCAATTAAACCTCGTGAATTTACTCGGCATTTCTCAACACTGTGGATTCAGAAAGGGGAAATTGGGCGCAGCTGTGAATTTAGAATGCAAAGATAATAGAATACCTTGTAGGCAAAAATATCAAGGGTGCTCACAGCAAAAAGCGATGTGGTTTTCCATGGGGCAGGAAGAGTAATGCCACAGAGGGAGGAGAAGAAAGGTGCCGAAAAAGATGGACAACAGATTTTAAGAGAAAACAGAGGTATAGACGTGGAAGGGGGAATTATTGTGACTAGCGTGAAGGATTTCAGAGTCACACTAGTTTAAGGCAGGTCAGCGTCAGGCCTACATTTTCTTTTTTTCTTTTTTTTTTTTTTTTCCTCCGGTACCGGGAACGGAACTCACGACCTTGCGCTTGCCAGGCAGGCGCTTTTGCTGCTGAGCTAAATCCCCAGCCCCAGGCCTACATTTTCTTCCCGACCACGCCCATGCTTTTATCTCATTTGATAGGAATGAGATAAAAGTTATGAGCTATTTAACAAGTTAAACTGATTACAGGATTTTTCAACCCCTTCATGATCTGTCTATCAAATACAATACCAAATGCTATTCAGGCGTCATAGCTAGCATTGTTCCTGCATTACAGCTCCACGAGGGTTCCACTAATCAGGGCAGATTGAAGCCGCAGAGCTGCCATTGTCCGTTGAATGGTAGAGCAGGTTTTGGAGTGATTGTCCAAGAGTGTATCTGGGTCCTTTGGAGAAACGGAAGGAGGAGAAGGTTCCTTATTTCTTCACTGAAGCTATTCAGTCTTCTTTTATTTTGTCTGGGATACTGAGAAACATAAAAAAGCAAGTAGAATAAGTCAATACAAAAAATGGACAAGGAAACAAACAGAAAATGCTGGTTGTGTACCATGCATGTTTCCAAGTTTATTAGATAAGTTCTGGAAAACTTTTAAGACAAGAAGGAAAGGGGAGAGAAAAATAAATATACATTGATATAGATGAGAGACATGTTGAGAAAACTCACACTGAGTAAACATAGTCCCTACTGAATATGGTCATGAAGGACTATGAAAGGCCCATAAGGATGATTTGTAAACATGAGGGGCTTTCTGCTGAAGATTTGAAGGCATGTTTCCACTTCCTTGTTGCATATCTCCGTTCTTTTTGGGAAGAAACACAGATCTTGGTGTCGCTGTTAAGACAAGAGTAGAGTCACAACAGTTAATCTCACATACTTCACATGATAAAGACAAATCAGCACAAGCTGGTGTAGGGGGAGGTGTTGACAGCAGAGCTGAGAGAGAGGATTTCTCTAAAGAGTCCCCCTACGATGCTCATAAGGAAGAGAGATTCAGAGCAACACAAGGATCCTTAATATGGCCAGGTCTGTAAGTAGCTCAAGCTGTGTAGAAGTGATGGTCTTATTTATGAAAAAGCAAAGGAATCACAGACAAAATGTGATGAATACTTATGATTCTGAGATTAATAGCAAGAGAGGTAAGAAGGGGAAAAGCATAGGGGCTAAAGTCAAGGTTTCTCATTTCAACAACTAAGATGATAATGATGCCACAAAAAAGAAAGATACCACAGGTAACAGAGAGGGAAGGAAGGAACTGGAGAGGGAGCTAAACTTTTTAGGCCACACCCAGCGACCCGCGTCTTCCAACCAGACCCCGCCTCCTAGCAGCAAATCAGTTTTAAGTCCTCTAAAAGCCCCATATATGAGGCTCTTGGAAGACATCAAGATATAAACCATAACAGCTATGCATTTGCAAAATTAGCTCCGAAGGCATCCGTCAAGGTGGCTGACTTGGTGTGTGACAGTAACTACCTGACAGCTATGACAACTTTAATGTTAGGTACTGCATTAGTCTAATTTCTATTATTACCACATAAGGAAATATCTGATGCTGGTTACCTTCTAAAGAGATAAGGTTCATGTAGCTCATAATTCTGGGGGCTCACGGCATGACGCTGGCATCTGCTGGGCTCTCGCGAGAGCTTGATAGCGGATTATCTTCATGGAGAAAGCTCTCGTGAGAAAATGAGATCACAAGGCAAAACCGGAAGCCAGAGGCTGGGGAGGGTCTAGCTTTTTTTTTTTTTTAATAGCAACTTTCTTGTGAGAACTAACCAGGGTCCTATGAGAAGTACATCATTTCCTTCAAAAGTTAGGATCCTAGTGTCCTTAAAGGTCTCACCCACTCAAGCTTCTAACATGTAAACATGTACGGGATAAACTCAAAGCATATCCACACCACAGCAGGTCCCCGAAACCCAACCTTGTCAATGCTTTCTTTCACCTCTGTATGTCCATTAACAGCAGAAATAGCTGGAAAAAGGTGAAAAGCACCCATGATAAGAAGATTCTCACGGTCGGCTTGCTCACTCACCAGCTACTCACTTTGGCATTTAACTCTATAATTCTTGTGAGTTGAGTTCATGTCTCAACAAAATCTCCCAACTGTTTCATTTTAGCGTCACTTTCAAATAGTCTGACTGTGACGTACTATATGGGGTACGTAAGTGCCAAGGAATTGTTTGCACGTGAGCAAATTTCGAAGCCATTCTGTGGGATCTCACACGGTTAGCTAATATTTCTACAGAATCCTCCAGTATAAATTTATTGCATTTTATTTTGCCGTTCTAGTTCTAGTACTGTGCCCCACCCCCAAGAGTGACTTTCAGGAGACCATACAGAACTATGACTTTGAACTCTGACATGTTATGGGAAATAAGCTCTCCTAAAAGGCCCACTCTTAACCAAACTAGTTTTACCACAGGGAAAGAACAGATCTGCGATTGATTTGTTAGTTCTTACAGATTAACACAGAGTTGGATTTTTATGTTGGATTTAAGATTAAATGATTTTATTAAACCCTCTAAAAACAACCCTTTTCCTCAGGTCAGACAAAGGGATTTGCTTCAAAAATACTTGGCGTAGTTTTCAGGCTGCAGTGCTCGTACACCGTGTTTCTTTGCTTTTCCTGTTTCCCCTTCCTGAGGAAGAAGCCCTGCGGAGTTTAAACGGCGTTGCTATGTCACCCGTTCCGGGGGCAGCATTCTCGCCCATGCTGATCATGTGACTGTCCCTCACAGGTGTGAGTGCAGGGATCAGAGAGAAAGCGTGTTTTCAGTTATGTGAACAAATACAGAAAACCTCTAAATTAAAGCGTTTTTAGTGTTTTTAGATCATTTCCAGGGCTGGAGATAATTTTTGTGAAAGTAGTTTATTGGAGTGCTGTCTGGGGAAGGAACATGCGGTCAACAGGAGAAGAGAAGAAAACTAAGCAAAATGTAGTCTTGGCTGGAGACACCCTTCAGTCCGAGGTCCCAGGAGGCTCTGGTCCACCTTGAGTCCAGGCAGCTGGCCTGTACTCAAATCAGTCATTGCCCCGACTTGTTGCTATGGGCGGGAGTAATATCCCACGCAAAGCAGCTGTACTTCGCCAAACAACGCGTCAAGCAAACGAGAAACGTGTGCATTACTGGTATCTAGTGAGCAGGGGGAGGGAGGGGAAGATTAGACCGTCAGGCGAGGCCTCCCTGACCAGGCAGCTTATAGGCTGAAACCAGATGATAAATGCTAGCATACATAAGAGACTTGGAGCAGAAGCCAGGGGGCACACATCTGAGGCAAAACGAACAGAACATCAGTATGTTCCTGCCTTAAGATTCTGGAATTGAGAGGAGGGGTGCTGTGGCACTACCATAAATTAGCAGCAAGACAAGTATTTTGTATTTTTGAGGTTTTAAAAAGGCTCCAACAGGATTTTGGAAGAAAATATCATGCATATGTATGGGGTTCTGAATTGTGCTAATGTCACCTTCCAAGTTCTCTGTACTGAAGTATGTTTAGTATGTATCTGCTTTAGAGGAAATAGTGATAGTTCCTATGACTGGGAGCTTTACAAATACCCACCAAGGTCAAGTTCTTCCTCTAAAGGCTGAAAATTCCTCTGTTCTCAATGGTGCAATATGGCCCATAAAAGCCTATGTGGCATCTCCTCTTGACTTATGGGCCCCAAATTCAATGAAGACAGACAGACAGATAGAAAGATATAGATACATAGGTAGATAGGTAGAGAGATAGGTAGATAGATAGATAGATAGATGGTAGATAGATAGATTAGCTAGCTTGATGGATGACCAAAAAGTTTAAAATACAATGTTCAAATAAATTCTGAAAAATCAAAAGCAATGAATAAGGTGTTAATTATCTAGTAAAACTTACGGCACTGAGAAGAATTAACCCTTGTATCTCCTCCGTGGCCAGGAGGAAGTTTTTCTTGGCAAGTCGTACTTCATCTGAAACTAATTGAGGCAGCTAGCTGCAAGGGCAACTGGCAGGGAGAAGGGCCTCAGTTCTGCTTTTGCATAAAAGGTACCCAATAAATATTTATCAAGTAGTGAATAAATGTCCTCTCGAGGCCTCGCCTCTTACCAGCCACTACAAAGTCAAGCTGTAAATGAGAAGAAATAAAGAGAAAAAGACAGGATGACAAAAGGATGATAATATATTAAGATAAGCTTGGAGCTACAAATTTAAAATGAGTTGAATTTTAGTGAAAGATGGTGAACTGAAGACAGATATATACCAAGTTCTCTTTCAAATGTAAAAAAAAGATTCTATACTTTTAAAAGAAGGAATCCATAATAATGCTAGAAAAGTAGAAACGCAGGCAGCTGGAGGAGGACATTTTGAAGAAATCCTAGAATACAGAAACAGATGGAATCTGATTAGAGATGAAACTGATCATGGAAAATTGTAGCCCAAAACACCAGAGGGAAAAAGAATCTTTCCCAAAGGAGTCCTTTAAAAACTCTCACTCCACAAATATAAAACATCAGGATGAAATATGGTACAAGTATCAAGGTAATTAATAAGTTATGATCTGAGTGCTTGCACACAGTCTAATTTGCTGACTATATCTTTCCACTCACTCTGTCCCTATGTGCTCTACTCCAGCCTCACTGGCCTTCTTTCTGTTTGCTTCTATGAATAATGTTCCCACAGTGCCTTTGCATTTGCTCTTCCCTCTGTTTGGAATGGTCTATCTCTACTAACATGGCTGACTCTTCTTTATATCCAAATCTTATCTTAAATTCCCTAACTCAAAGAAGCCTTTTCTGACCACAGTCTCTAAATTAGATCCCAAAGCTTGCCAATGACTCTATCCTGTCACACTGATTCCTTTCCTTTACTGGGTGTATTGGTGGTTGAAACTACCCTGTAAATTTATTTCTTTATCATTATCTCGGAGTAAATACCTCATTTATCTTGCTTATCATAATATCTACATCTAGCATTAATACAAGTTGGTACTGGCATCAGCCAGTTTTTGGTATATAACAAATACCTCCAAACACAGTGGCGATAAATGACGACATTTTATTTAGTATATTATTTGGGTCTGCTAAGCAGGTATGTCAGCTACTTCCTTTTGGGTCCCTTCAAGCACCCACAGTTAGCAGGTAGTTTGGCTGGTCATTGTATAATCTGGGAAAAGTCACTTCCACATGTCAAGCATGGGTCAGGACAAGAGAGGCAGCTTGGCCATAGGACTTCTGTTACCCAGCAGAATAGCCTAGGTTCCTTTGTAGAAATGTGCAAATGATTTTCCAGTCTCTGTCTCAAGTCATTTCCCAGTGAACAAAAGAAGTCATACGTCCAAGGCCAAATTTAAGGCAATGGAGAAACAGACTTCAGATCTTCCTAGTCTTGGTCTGGCCTTTTTTTTTTTTTTTTAAATCAGGATGCTGCTGACCTTATAAAATTAGTCTGGAAGTATTTCTTTCCCTTCCATTGTTCTGAAAGATTGTGAGAGTTGTTATTATTTCTTTTTTAAAAATTTGATAGAATTGAGCAGTGAAGTCTTCTGATCCTGGATTTTTCTTTGGTGGAAAATTTCTTATTCTTTATCCAACCTTCTTGCTTATTATTGTTCTGTTAATATTTCCTACTTTGTTATAATTCAGTCTTTGTAGTCTGTATGAATCAAGAAATTTACTCATTTCTTGTAGGTTATCCAGTTCATGGGCATATAGTCGTTCATAATAGTCTCTAATTATCTTCTGTATTTCTATTGTATCAGGTATAATGTCTCCTTTTACTTCTATTTGAGTATTTTGTCTCTCTCTTTTTATTTTTCTAGTTCCTTGTAGTATAATGTTAGGATGTTTAGTTGAAATCTATCTTCTCTTTTGATATAGACCAAAGGATCCCTAATATGGATCGGTGGTAGAGTACTTGCCTAGCATGTGCAAGTCCTTGGCTTTAATCCCTAGTACCACAGAAAAAATCCTCACTCTTTGAAATGCTTTCGTTGAAACCTACAAGTTTTGACATGCTGTTTTAATTTTTGTGATATCTCATAAGATTTTAAAATATCTTTATTGATTTATCGGTTATTCACTAACATGTTGTTTAATTTCTATGTATTTTTAAATTTTCTAAAGTTTCTCCTGTTACTGATTTCTAATTTTATACCATTTTATTTGCTATGATTTGAATTATCTTAAATTTCTAATAGTTGTTTTGAAGGTTTTCATGTTCTCTATCCTGAAAAATGATCCATGTGCAGTCAAGAATATATATTTTTTATACATTGTATGGAATGTCCCTGTAGATGCCCGTTAGGTCAATTTATTCTAGCCTGGGGCTTGTGTGGTCCCATCTGATGCCAGGATGAGGTGCAGACGCCCAGTCTATTTTATTGGTCTAGAATATGGAGCTATGGGGTGGGGACTGCCAGGGCTGGGTCTTACTGCAGTGGAGTCAGTGCTGGGGTCCAAAGTTCTGAGCTCACTTCCTTGTTTTTCCTGAAGCAGAGGGTAGCTTTCTCATCCCTCTGCTGCCTAGACTGGGCAGAAGCATGAAAAGGACAAATTGAAAGTATTCATTCTGCCCTCTTCAATGTATATTTTCTTATTCTTTCATAGCCAGGTACTGTGATTTCTCACCTGGATCCCTTTGCTCTTTTGAAGACATTTTTATGTGCAGTTACTT